TATCAAATGGATTGCTTTACAGTATTTATTAGTGATGCACGATATCAAAATTTCTGGCCGATACCGATATTAAGATATCTGATATCGCCGATAACCGATATTACAGATATTGCCAATATCACCGATGTCGATATTTGATTTTTGTTCACACCGAAAAATTAGTTTAAGTAAACACTGTGAGAATAGTGAAAACTATTCAGAAGAAGTCCAAATTAGACCACATAGTCTTCTTTATTACGTAACAAAAGTAAAACATATTTAAACATATTTTAACATATTTAACATCCAGGACCATTTAAGTAAAAACATCTGTGAAATAGCTGCAATATCAAATGTAGAGAAGAAGGCGTTGATGTTAGACAATCATCGGCTAAATTTGTTCATCAGACCGATATAAGCGAAAAACACTAATATCGGCCGATACCAATGTGGTCGCCGATATATCATGCATCCCTAGTATTTATGTTTCATTCATGCTTCTCAAAGGATGAATCCCAGCCATGGTGGTGATGGTTCTCCTCTAGCAGCACAGCAACAGTTGAAAATCTTGTTTTGAATGGAATGTCTTCATTACTGAACGGCCCATCGTGTTATTTGGTTTGCCAGCGTATACGTCTAATGCCTTCTCTGGACTTTTCACCAGAATCCCTCCACTCTTTGTAGGAAAAGCTGTGTTCTTCCAACCGCAACCTTAGTCCAGGACGCAGCAGGAATCGACCACAGAAACTTTCCATCACATCAGAGGAGCAGCTGAACGCGTCTCAGCATTTTGGCCGTCACTTAACCAACCGCAGAGCGACTGGCCCCGGCCGCAGTCCCCGGGGCTCGGTAACTGCACTTTCATTCACGGGAGATAATGACAAAACGAGCGGGATGTTAATGATTTGTGCAACGAACGCGGACATGTGTCAAAGACAAGCATGCAAATTAATGACACGAGGCCCCCCTCCAGTGCCTTTAATGTGCGGGAATAATGCTGTTCTTAATTTTATATCATGTTGAGATCTAAAATATTGGCAATAATTCAACTTTGGACATGTCTAAATAAACGTGTGACGGATCTTCCACGGCAGAATAAATCTGAAACACTCCTTTCATTGTTGGTCAGCGTGAATGTGTTTTTAAAGGTGTAGTTATTAAAATACTGGCAACCCCCTCAACTAAAAACGTCTTTGATTGAAAAGATGGGCGATTAGGTTTTGGCAAGTTTGTCATAATTAAAGCCTGCATTGTGTACTGTGTGTGTGTGTGTGTGTGCGCGCACAGATGAGGGGTGGTTATAGCTACAGGGAGGAACTGGAAGAAGAAGGGGTGGAGGAGGCTCCCTGTAGCTGGCTGAATTAGTGCCCGATGGTTTGGCCTGGCAGCTGCTCCCTGAGCCTGGCACGCTGACAGCCGAGCACTGTGGTGTTGTCAGGGCCAACCAGCAGATAGTTAGGGAGGCGGCGACGCCAGGCACACCAAACACGAACTCTTTCACCACGGCCGGCTTTGTCTTCCAACCGGCTCGCCGTACTTGTGTTACTTGTTATGGCAATATCACTGGATTAGTATGAGATTAAGTTGGGTAATTAAAAAGGGCAAATTACGTTCATGTCATCAGGGGAAATGTAAATGCCACACTAAGCTGCTTCTGACATTTAGCCGTAATGAAAAATGTGACCGTTATGTATTTAGAGCAGCTGTTGGTTCGAAAGAGAAAAAAAAAAAACAGTCTGTTGTTGCGTTCGCTTCTCTGTGCCTTGTCCAAGACCGGTTGAAGTAAAGTAAATGTCCATATGATTCACTTACGGGAAATTCAATTTAAACTGCTTCGTCAAGAGGTGCTCAACAAAAACCCTAAATGGTAAATTAAATGTGATACACAAAGCAGGGCCATCTGCTTCAACACCTGTTTTTAGCTGCGGTGATACGAAAACCGCCTCGTCAGCCGTATGCGTTTCACCGATTTACAGAAAGATGCGACGACGGAGAGATTTTATGCTTGAATCTGAGGCGGCGCTCTCTCGTCGTGCCACGTATCTCGCCTCTTCATGCCTCTATAGTAGTGACATACTGAAAGTGTCATCATGTATCTGCTGCGGGCTGCTAACGGTGTTTATTAAGTCTTTGACCACCCTTGTGTAGTCGAGGGCGTCACTGGTGGGATTTGGGCAGATTCGGAGGCCTGGATGGGGCTTGCCAGGGGCGGCTGGGGGCTGCCTTGGCCCAGATGCCGCGGCTTCTGTCCAGGCATGGCACTGGGATATCTGTGGGGCCCAAGCACACCAGCTGCTATCTCCGTGTAACAGACAGCTGTATCTGAATATTCATACAAAGTGCAGATTAATGTGTGTTTGTTTGGCCCCACATGGTGTGCCGTCAAACCGCCCAAAGGAGTCGTAGGTGTAAAAGCGCCGTGTGTCCCCGCGGCGTGTGGAACTCACTCGGCCTTAACTTCTGCCTGAGACGGAGGCTCGAAGCGGAGCGTCGATCCAGCGAAACACTTCACCGTACCGTACAGTTGGTTGTACTTGTTGTGGCATGCTGACTCATTAAATATTTTGAGTACAATTTGGCCGTTTCATGTGTGACCGCGGCAGACTGGAGAGCAGCTGCCCGTCTTTGTAACCAGTGGCTACTCCTGTGGCCGTTATGCCTCGGCTTGTGCCGCGTCCAACTGATCCCATTCATGTCCGGCCAGTAGGAGCAAAGACTCTCCGACCCGCGCATTCAGAGCGATGGCCGCCGTACCCGAGCGGCGGCGGATTCATCAACCTTGGCCTTCTTTGAGTCGTGTTTTTTGGAAAGAGTTTCGGTGGGTGTTTGGTCAAATAATCTGCTGGCTGACGGCAATGGGAACCGGTGAATGTGCATTAGTGAATGTTTTGAGGCTGAAGTTGTATAAAATGAGCAGATGGTCTTTACTTCCCTCCCTGAATAAGTGGAGTGAACCAGTGGGCACACAGGGGGAGATTTGTGGGTAAACTGTTTTACCTCCCCTCTCTTTGTTTTGTAATGGGGAAGGCAAAATGGTTGCTAACTGCTGACAGACAATGGCTCGGCCCTAATGAGCGCAAAGTGTTTTGGTGCTGCTGGTATAATGAGGATGAAGTGGAGGAGCTAATTATTGGAACCATCTGAAGGCATCGGGACCCAGATGAGCTCATATTTTTGTTTTCATAAAATTAGAACTTATTGTCGTATGTGTTTTAATTAGCTAAAGTCATGCATTTAAATGATGCTGTTAAAGCTGGGAAATAGTGCAAGCTGAGCAAACTGAAACAGAAAGGAGTCTTATCAGCACTACAGTAAGCACACTACTGTATGTTAATCCATCACAGAGCAGTAAAACCACACGGTTAGTAGTAGTTTATTTGCTCGTGCGGGTGCGTTACAGCTCTTATCTGCCGTCTGGCCCCTGGTTGACCCTGAGAACTTGTTAGGCCGACACAATAACACCAGCTGTAAAACGCACAAGTTGTGAAAGCTCTGACTCTCGCTGAAGAGGATCTCCTTGGCAGCCATGTTTGTCTGGTGGCTGTTTTGGTAATTTATGGGGGGGGGGAAGCATTGTGTGGGTGTTCCTCTTCTATTCTAACCATTTTACAACTGGATCTTTGGGGCAATCTGTGATTTACGCACCGCTAAACGGCCATATAGTTGAAAATAAAACACCCCTTCGCCGTGCCAAAAGATCTGATCTCTGCCAGTCGTGGAATCATATTAGCTGGAAACATCATTCCGCTGTAATCGCTCCGTAATGATCGCCGATAATGAGCCGGATTTTTGCTCCTAGAACGTGATGAACTATTGGTTGATTACAGGTTTACGGGCAGAATACATTCCCCT